TGACTATTGGATTGTTGTTTTTAAACTCCTTAAAACTTTAATGGGGATTTCACTCTTTATTAAGTAATAGATTAGTATGTCACCATAAATACACACAAATCAATGACAATAGAGACCATCAATTCAGTATATTTAGATTGTTGCAAGGTACCTTACCTGTGTAATTCCCTTGTATTAAATTCACACTTCAGCTTTATTTTTAAGTTTTTATTCAGTAACTTGTCTGAAATAAGTGGTTTGTTTTCTTTTCTTTTCAGCTGACCCCCTGGTTGGAAGTATTGCCACTCAGTATATGACTAACAGAGCAGAGCATGACAGAATGGCCAGACAATGGACCAAAAGATACGCTACATAAATTGGATTTTCGTCAAACTCTTACATTATTCGTCTGTGATGGAAAGAGCTGCTTATGATTTTGAAGGGGTGGGGGGAGGGAGGGTGCTGGTAAAGAGTAGGGTATTTCTATAACAGATTTTATTCAGTCTTTTATTTCCTAAGATTTTGTTGTTGTAACTTAAGGTATCTTGCTACAGTAGACAGCTAGGATTGGGAATAGCATATTTTAAGACTGTAATTAGTTCAGCAATATTAGCTCACATATAGTACCGAGAAGAATGTAAACTTCTTATTCGAGTTCCTTGGTTTTCAGTTTGCTTGCAGTATGTAAAAGATTAAAACAGCTTAATTTTGTACAGGTACATATGTTGACATTTATGTAAAAGTCCTTTCAAGACTCTACACACTGTTTTTGCTTTTTGTTTTGTTTTTGGTTTAGGGGGTGTATTTTTTTTCTGGGTTGGGTTTTTTGGGTTTTTGGGGTTTTTTTTGTAAAAAGATGTCAGGATTGTTTTCCCCTATGGAGGGCACATTGGTATTTAACAAATCCTTTTTAAAGACTGTCATCTCATGATCTGTGATACGGAGAGGTGTATATATGGCCTCATCTATGAAATGAGAAGTAGTTAATGTATTATTTTATAAGCCAATCTATCTTTGTGAAAAAAATAAAGGGTTTAATCAGGACTTACGGCAACCTGTAGTGAAATACCTTAAGCTGTTTAACTGTAAGGCGTGGAGTAGGAGTCACTCAGTGGATTGGTTGTATGTTGTGGGCTACTTAAGTCTGCATTTGTTACTGTGCTAATAAAAAGATGTTTAAAAAAAAAAAAAAAAAAAAGAAGAAAAGATTTCTGCTTAGTGCCTTGCTTTGTCATTTTGCCAGAACAGCGTCTCCCAGTATGCTTTGAGGATTACAGTCTGGATAAGGACAAGGGAGTTCTGCAGGTGAGTGCACAGACTGCTTCTATTTTGGGAAGACACTTCTAGACAAGCTACAGTGAATGACAGCTAACACTTTTTCAGCTGTTGACTGTGTAGTGTTACGCAGACTGGCACGGCCCATGGCAGCCTGCCGCAGAGTCCATGCTAGTTACTTCCTAGCTTAAGCTTTCACAGCATTGGCTGTTCGGGGCTGGCACATTATTTGAAAGTACAACTGGAAAAAGTGTAAGAGATCTGGAAGGGAAACAGGCAGGAGATAAAAGGAAGAAGAGAATATCTTCATGGTTTTATGGAGTGGTCTGTTCCCACTTGGAGAAGAGGGAATCCTGTCCTGGTAAGCTAGCAGAAGACACTGTAAAGGAGAGTAAAGGAGACTTAATCTGTAGATCCTTTAACTACCTGAAAAAGATTATCTCCTAGAGACATGGTGTTTACATTGAAGTGTGTAGCAACAGGGTAGTTAGTTGTGGATATGGCATTTTTGACCACTCCCTTACAGTAAAGGCCGGAAGTACAGATTCATTTTCACACGGCAAGTACTTAACCTTGCGACATTCTTCTGAGTGCTGTGTGGTCATCTGTGCTCTTGGGTTTACTTTGGTACTTAAAAATAAATTCTGTATATATTTGATTTATATACTTCTTTTCCCATCTATATATAGATCAAATCTAACTTGGTCCAAAGTAGTCTGTTAATTAGAGGTACCCTTTCTTTGCTGGTGATTGTGGGTAATAGTATGTTAGCCTCATCTGCTAAACTGCCGCCTTCTGAGACAATGTATGTTTTGGTGTGTGAGCTCCCTCAGCTGTTTGGCTCAGCTTAGGAAAATTACTGGTATATAGCTACATCACACCAGGAGCATCTCTGGTAATCCTTCCCTCCTCCCCTCTACTGACCAAAGAGGTAAATGGCTTCATTTCAGGAGGTTTTTGTCTGCTCCTTGCTTCGTGCTACCAGGATGTACCAGATTAACTCTTGTAGCTGGCAGGGGAGAGGGAGCTGATTTGGGGTGACTGATCTGCAGCGTATGTATTTAGCAGGATAGAAGTTTAAGAGGAACAGAGAAAGATGGTTCAATTTACTGATTTACATGTTTTGTTTTGGGTGTTTTTATAATCCTCTTTCTCCATCATCTTGTGAAGGCACTGTCTAGCTCTGTAGTAGGTAAGTGATCCCAGTGACTTAGAGCAGGTTTTGAGTCAATGGAATAGTAAAGAACAAAATTGTGTCCTGTCCTCTAGCTACATTATACTCTGCACTTATTAACCCTCTGTAAAACTGTACTACAGTGAGCTTCATTTTGACTCAGTACCAGCCACTGTATGTAGATTGTCTGCAAAGGAGACACTACATTTTCTATCACTTGTCAATAAAATACTATGGTATTTAGAAAAGGCAACTGATTTGAGTGCTTAAAAACCATCAGAATAAGCTTATGAAAGCAAGCAGGGAGTGATAGTTGTTTATGTGAATGCCCAATATTATCCAAACTCATTTCTAATGAATTTAACCAAATCAAAGATAATGTGTTTGCCTTTACGTAACCTGTTTGGAAAAATGGCCTTAGTCATTCAGAAGATCCCTTTTCCTCTTGTCTGTTTTAAAACATTGTCAAGTCCTGAGTGTCCAGGGGAGTGAGGGAGCAAGCTGATCTTGCACGACACGGCTCTGGCAGCCTACAGGTGACATCAGTCTTGGCAGTGGAATTGGCACCAAGTCCGCGAGGTGCAGAGCTGGACAGGAACCAGTCATCTCCTTTCCTTCCATCTCCATGCATTTTAAGGTAATTCTGACTTGTCAACCTGCACTCCCTTGGCTCAAGGGTCAGCTTCAGTGACGATGTGTGGTCAGCATAGGTCTTTGGCTATTTTGATTGATCTAAAGCTGAATCAAGTTCCTTCTTGAAGAAGGGTTCTGCAGAGCTGAAGAGGAGGAACATAACCAATTCCCTGGTGAGAGGTTGCAGCAAGGAGGTGAACCACTGTTGCTCTGAAGTGACCCCCACTTCGCAAGCACGCAGGCAGATCAGAGTCTGCTGGGTAAGGAGAAGCCTTGAGTACACGTGTGTCTGGGAGGAAATGAGTGAGGAGGGAGTGTTGTTCTGCAGCATCGCTGGGGACAATGACTATTACTAGCCGGGTTGGGGGAGGTCGTGCTATAGTGCTTACTCAGCTGCAGTGTTGCAATGGAAACGATTGTATGTTCTTAGCAGGGCATTACAAGAGCTTGCTCATTCTTAATTGCTCTCTTATCTTACTCTTTGGCCACAGCAATCCAAACTATATTGAGCAAAGCACATAAACAGTTTCGTCTACCTTCATTATAAAGGTAGGAATACCTGCTTAATTTTTAGTGAATTGTACTGCTGCTCTGACATTAGTAATGCCAATGGACTTTATTTGTCAGTATTCAGGAAGAGCAATGCTATAAGCATATAGCTTAATTGTCATCATTAAGCACATTTACTATTTAGCAGTTGTGATATGACAGTGCAAATATTGCTCATGGTTTTGCTGACTCACAGTGAAATTCTCAATATTTGTTCAAAACAACATTAATTTAGTGGAAATGAGGAAACCGGGTACTTCACTCCCTCTCCCCACTCTTGTCTTCGAAGACAAAGAAAAGCTAGTATCAATTAGTGTATTAGTTTGTTAGAGGCCAAAAGCTGGCCACTTTCTCTGGGAATGGTCACTTATTCTGTCCCTCTATACTCAATTTTGTTTGGTTTACTGACAGGCTGACCTAGGACAGCAGATTCCTGCAGCACAGGTTTACCAGCGTGGAGAGTCAAATACAGCACGTACAGTTGTGCTGCTGCTGCTGGACAATGTGCGGAGTATTAAGACAAGGCCATTTGTACAGGTATTTGTGGGCATTTGCCATGGGGATGTTCCCAAAAGGCAGCCTCCTACACTCCCTAGCCCCCTCTCACAAAGTAGCACAGCACTTTGTACCGGTTGTTCTCCGGCCAGTAGCTTCGTACCAAGGGCGGATTACTGCAGCTTGGCTGAACGGCCAGGTAGGAGTATTATGCAATGCACTAAGAGCCCGGGCAGCACCTCCTGCATACACAATTGTTCTATATAATTTCTCAGTAAAATTATCGCCTATGTCAATGATTTGTGCTGGACATGCTGGAACAAAACCACATACAGCTATGTTGTCCTTCAGGTCGCAGTTAAATTAATGAGTGCTCTGAGAGCTTTTCTGGTTTGTACAAATAAATTCCTGAGCTGAAAGCACTACTTGCCAAGCTTTGCTGACAAGCTTCATGGCGGGGTAGATCTGCTCTAGTATCTCCCACAAGATTTGTTTTTTTCCTTTTTTTTTTTTTTCTTCCAGACACTAGCAGAACTTCATCGACTGAATCTGCTTATAGTTGTTCCTCCTGCCCCAAACCCTTCTCCTGCAACAACACACTGACCTCAGCCTCCTGCAGCATCAAAAGCCCTGTGGCCCTGTTTAAGGTCAAGGTAAAAGGATTGTTGCCCTTTCAAACGTACCCTCTCTCCAAACTGGATGCTTTATTGCAGCTAGTACTATTTGTGACTAGAGGCTATAGATCTGCAGGGGGATTGCTTAATGATAAGCTTGTTGATTTGTCCCTCAACATGGCTGTATCCAGGCATAGTCAAAGCCCCTACTAGAGAGGCATCCACCTGTCCCTCCCTCCTCCATAACCCTTGTTGCAAGATAACTCCTCTCATGAAGTGCTTTTTAAGGCTTTTACCACTGGTGACTTTTTTTCAAGCCAAGTCTGTGAGAAGGAATGATACCTCTTAGCCATAAGCTTGCTGATCTTTTTTTTCTGAATGAGATTATTGCTTTAAGTGAAACTGTGAGAAGCAAATGGCACGGAAAGGACTTGGGATGTGACCTGGCAGCAGCATACAATGCTAAGGTAGTTTAGTTATCACAGTTATTCCCTTTGTTCTTCCTTCCAGGCAAAGGAAATGTTGATTTGTTCTGGGACTGGGAGAGTTTGCTAGCTAAGAAGGTGAAGGGCTCAAGCAGTGTTTTCCGATCTGTCACGGTCACTTCCCACAGTCTCACTTTCTCGGCCCTTGCCCATTGCTGTGCTGCTTCTGTTTCCACTTGCCTTTGCTCCAGGAGGTCAGTTTTGTTTCCCAAGACAATAACTGTTACCTACAAACAAAACGAAAGGGTGAGCCTTATACAACAAGCATCCACCACTCACAATGCTTTTAAACACCAGGCAAGCAGCAACGCAGTTCAGACCTGATCTTTAACTTAGGTAAGCTGCATGTAGTTTGGAAGAGCAGGGACTAAGATTTGAATTAGCCTCATCTACTTGTAGGCTGGGAGCTGGTTTTAATCACAGGATATGCAGGACTTCCCCTTCTCCCCCCAATCGCTTAAAGGGAAACAGTACTCCAGAAAGCCAAAGTTAAACAGCCCCATTCTCCATTTACTTTGCAATTGAGCTGCCCTAGACAAACGATGAGAGCATGACACCTGAGTAGGTCAGAGCACTAGATGCTTGAGAGATGAAAAAATGCATTTCAGCAGAGAAAGCCTGGACCTCATAGCTGTGGATTTTGTGCAGCTTGTTTTTTCCCCAAGCCCCAGCCCACAATACAAATAAAACCAAGCCACATGGCAGCCAGGCAGGCTGAGCTGTTGAGCCCCTCTCCCAGCCCAGCTGGCTGCCCACTCCCACAGGCACATAAGCCACTAGAGGGACCTCAGGGGACAGTCTTCTGCTCAGATAAGCACCAGCACCATCCTCTCTGGAGCAGCTTCAAGAGCAGCGGGTTAACTAACCTGAGCAGCACAGCTGTATCGAGTCCAACCCTTGGTTTGTAAGGATCAGTCAAGTGACTTCTGTGTCACCGAGACAGTACAGTGTGGCTGAGCTCAGCTGTCTGCCTGGTACTTCAGTTCCAGGAAGTGCTAAAGGTAGTGCTGGCCACTTAAAGTTACTGCTCCTGTCTATTTTAAGTTAACAGTTCTCTAAAATTGTTTTACCAGCATCACCTCTTAGGGGAAACCATGCCTATATTTATAGTTCAAGGTCTTTAGTCAAACTCTGGTCTCATCTCTGCACTAGTGCTTTGACAAAGATCAAGTGATAAAGTCCTCTCTTACTGATGATTTTGTTTTTTTGCTGTGGCCAAACGTGTTTGCTCTTTCCTCTTCATCAGGCTAACTCCAGGATGTCTTCTGCTTCTTTCTAGCTAGAGATGTTTGTCCTGTTCCTCTGAGGCCTCTCTTCTTTTCTACAGCAGCCCATGCATGGGCCTTCTGTGAAGGCTTTGAAAGAAGCCATAGTCTTCATATACATGTACCGCGTGCTCCAACTGAATTTTACCTATGGTTAAGCTTTGTCAGTGTGAGAGAACACAACCTCTATTTAGTATAAAATTTGGCCAGGTTTTCAGGTGCGTGCTGGAGAGCCCCCACAGCCAGCAGAGGCAAGGAACCAGTCATCAGTGCTTTCTGTCATCTGCCACACAACAGGGAACTGTGTCACTCAACAAGGTGAAGTTCTGCCAGCTTAGAATCACCATGTGTGGAGCTACATCCCTAATTCAGTTAAGGATTCATTCTAGCAGAGCCCAAACTTTAAGCCTCCTGATGGTATCTTAAGGTAGGACTGCTGATCTCGCCTTCTACCTGCTTCAAAGGATATTTTATATGGACTAGAAATCACAGGAATAAAACTAATTTATCCAGCTTATTGTGGGCACTGCTTTTTTGACTATTATCCTCAGTCAAAATCACAACTTTAAACTCTCCCAGAGGATAAGCAAATTGGCTGTTTTCTAAAATAGCTGCCTGCAATGAGAGAGAAGAGTTCTGGCAGGTAACAGAGAGAGGGACGCAGATCCTGTTGGGGCTGTGACTTCCTCTCCACATTGCAACAAATCGAGGCCCTCACAAGACACAGCGCCTGGGAAAAATTTCCTGCTCGTCCACCTTTCCTTGCCCTGCAGGGGAGTTATGATTGACTCTGGTATCCCTGATATATGTGACAGTTTGCAGCTCACACCAGCCCTACCCGCTAACATACCTCTCCTGTGACTGCATGTTCGGCTGCTGTCAAACTTGGAGCCTGCCTTCTTCTACCACCCTATGTGCTGTCAGTACTAAACAAGTTACATTTTTTGAAAGTCTCCCCCTACCATTATCCAATTAATTCTTCATGCACTTTTATTTTTATTTTTTTTAACAGCATAAACCAGACATTTGGAAAGCTGTAGGCTAAAGACGTTTAACAGGGAAAACTACTCGAGAATATAAAGATACTGTAAGAAAAGCCATAATGCTAATGCCACATGCAAGTTTTATTTGTTTAGCTAAGCTGGAACACTGTCAGCTGAAAACACTAGCTGCTTTCTAAGGGAAAATAGAGCAGTCATTTCACACAATTGAATTGATTCAATATGGTTGTTAAAATACATTAAAGCCGCATTGCCAATTGACTAATGTCTGGGAAACCCATTGTCAATTACTCTAGTTTGTAAGCCATCAAGTACATGAATACAAAACAAACACAGATAATGCCCTTCGTTATATTTTTCTATGCACTTGACTTGCTGTGTACAATATCTAAAAAAACATATGAACGGTACTGCTGTAGACCATATGTTTTATTAGTCATAAGTGTCCTGGCTGGTGCATTCAGCTAACTGAATTTTAGCTGTAATAGAGGAAGTAAGGAGACCAAAAAATGCATTCTTTTGCATGACCTGCATGGCATGTGAATTAGGCTTCCCCAGCATGAGAAAGCTTCCTCTTGCTGGATTGCCCAAGGCTGTGGGTACATTTGTTTTCGTTTGTATGCAGAAACAAAATCTATGCTTTGCAACCTTAACTTCCGATCACTGATATACCAATAAGCCAAGCAGCTATGGCACCGTGCATTTACCTCCTTTTTGTCTCTAAAGACATCGATCTCCTTTTTGAGCAGTTCGACTCTTTGGAAAGCTTCAAGGCTTGTCACAGCATACACGAGAACGAAGCCATCAGCGACAGAGAAATAGTGTTTTGGCAATTCTACGCCCTCCTGCAGACCCCTGGTGTCATAAAGCCGTAACTGTTCCTTCACGCCTCGGTCTGTCTCCACTGATGCCAAATACACATCTTCCATTGTGGCACCCTCTTCTAAGCCTGTTTTAAAACAATCAGAAAAGTTCAACTGGTGTAAGTACAGCACCACTGTAAGAATTATTTGCAGTATTTTACCCCACAATAGCTTTCAGTGCATGTTTTCCAGAGTGACTTGACCTGGACTCGACCTTGCCTGACATCTCCATGAAGGGCTGTATTCATAGATCACTGCACCAGCTATTTACAATAGTGACACTGTGTAAATACAACCATCTGATATATGAGCACATGATTATGCCTGTAAAATTAATCTATACAATGCGCACATTCAGGATAGGATATGATATATGGCTCTTCCCCCAGGTTTCCCAAACTCCAACCACCCAGTGTACCAGTTCTGTGCCAAACATAACGCAAATGGGCCTGCCCAAACATCCCCTGTTGGAAGAACAGCCAAGGAACACCAGATAGTCAAGTACTAACATCTTGAGCCTAATTCTTTATTTCATACTGAGCTGGATCATACAGCAGAAGCAGGAGCCAAAGGAATAACTCTGGAAATGAGTGTGTACTGGTGGTACAACTAACCAACAAGTGAAATCAAGCCAGAAAGGGAAGAGGATGTTTGCATGCAAGCAAAGTTGCATGCTATATTTACTGAAATACACAATGAGCTTTTTCCAGCCCTTAGGGATCTAAAATGACTCAGATTTGCTAATAGGAGCAAGCTCATTTACTGCAAGGTAGGAGCATGCACAAAGTAACAAGCTTTCATATATATATCACCTGCTCCATGGTAACTATCTGCACACTGGCTCTCCTTTCTTCCTCTCCCCATGGTAAATGTGAGGTAATTCAAGAAAGCTTACTTTGAACAAATTTAAATGTTTTTTTCCAAGCCAAACCTTAACATAGATCACCTTAGCTTTGTGGTGCCCTGGATGCAGATGCGTAAAGTTACAGGTCCCAACAAACTATGTATAGTGTAGCTGGGCCACTTTCGGAGTCGGTTTTAAGTATTCATGTAAACCCCCTGCAATCCACATTTTTGCCTCCACTGCACTCCCTGTACACAGAAATTGCCGTTGCAGGGCTACAATAATGAACACTGTATTATTCTCTTTGTCTGCCAAAAAGGGACCATATTAGTGCATTGTTTAAGAAAACACGAGGGATTATCTGCTCTGTGAAAATAAGGATTTTGCTATATTCAATGACATATTCAAAATACTTCACACTGACAAACAAGCTAAAGCATTCCACCCACGCTGATGGTTTCCCATGATGTGTGCAGCATTCCTGTGCAGGGAAGTGGCACAAGCTGTTCTTTTTGCCCCTCTCTGTGCAGTCTTTGTAGATCAAACTCTTATTAGGTTTGCAACGAATTAATTTATCTCGCCTCCAAATATAGCCATGCTAACGTGCGACAGCGAAACTAAAAGCAGAAGGACAAAACAAAGGTTATAAAAAGAGGAAGCGCGGAGGCATTCTGTGCAGTTCCGTGTTACAAGGGCATTTTTAAAGACTGAAGTAGGTAATAGAGCCCTTTCTGGTATAGCACAATGTTTGTTCTTCCTCTGCTTCATTGTATTATACAGACAGGTCAAGGAAATGTCTAGCAGCAGTAAATACTACTTTGGTGAGGACTGAACCATAAGTGCCTAAGTTTTCTTTTTAGAAAGCAATGAATAATGTTGTACAGGTTTTTACCATCTAAATGCTGCAATGTAATTCAACAGTCTTTAATATATCCAGTTTCTCCTCTGACAGTCTCTTCCTAATGGCATTAAAAGTAGCAGTCAAAATTACGTCTTTTAACATCCTACTTGAAAACGAGGAGGAAAAATTAAGATCTGGGAATTAAGTCACCATAATAGAGCAACAAATTTTCATGTGAAATGGGGGCGGGGGGCATTTTGGAGGGAACTGGAATTTATGCATCAGTATCAGATTCCAGAGGTGAAATTTCACCTATGTACATTGGGGTCGGGAGCATATGCAAGTAGATTCCTAATCAAACACAGATAATTCTTAGACATACCTGTGTCACCTTATTCTAGGCTTCCAAAGCCCAGACTGCGTGTTAGCCACATCTTGCTGGCAAGCGTATTTACAGTTCTTGTTAGTACCGTCCCACTCACGCACTTTCCCAGTCTCCATTCAGACATGTGCCGGGCAAGTTGTTGTACGAGCAGCAGAACTAGTCAGGAAAGCCCAGTGTCCTGGGAAGGTGTCTGGCACGATCCCATCCTCCCTGTCTCCTTTTTCTTTCACTGGCATCTGCAGGCATCCTCCCACCATCGCTACCTGGGTGGGCAAGAGCAGCTTGTGCTGGGGAGTTGCTGCCCTGCAGACTGCTGCCAGCTTGAGTTGTTTTCCTTGGAGGAGGGCATTATTTCTCTCTTTACCTCTCTTTACTGCTACCAATTTTTCTAAACTTACAGAAACATATTTTGAGATATTGACTGTGGTGTCACAGATGAGCGGGCAGATGGAACTAGCTTTCAGGTTCAGAAGCTATGGTGGGGGGAACTAAAAAGACAGTTTAAAATTGCATGGTTTCTTTGGAAACTAAAGATGAAAAGTTGGGGAGAGAAAGGAGAAATAGACAGGAGATTGATGCTGTTCTCTAGCACCTACTTAGCTGGTGCAAGTCTTAGGAGAGGCAGAAAGGTCTTCATCTATGTTACCCACTGCTGCCACAGAGGAACTGCAAAGGGGAAGCCTCAGTCATAAATTGGGTGGTGTTTCAACCCTTGGCGGTTTCCCAATGAGGGAAAGAAAAGGCTCAATATACTAACGAATACTGCACACTGAGGCTAGACAAGGCAGAGAGATTGCAAATACCAAAGTAAAGCAAAATTTCAAGATGGATGGAATTTCAGAAGATCCCAAGTGACTCCCAAACATAAATGCAGTGCAAATTTTGTGTCTTCTTGAGTACTTTTGAAGATCTCCTATATAATCTCTCTTTCCTTCTTTCCAGCAGGCA